CCTTTGAGACTTGTGCCACGTGAATTCTTTCAGCACTGGGTAGCAAGAGTCAAGGTTTACCCCACTCCAGAAACCTAACAATTTCACTGGGGGCTCTTCACAGCTCTTAGAACAATCCGTGCAGCAACTGGATCAATCACATTTGTGCATTTTCAAGGCATCCTGGATTCTGACACCTAGCCTCCTGAACTGTGCGACAGTGAAGTTGATTGTCAAAGCTGCCCACTCATCTTTTGGTAGATTTACCACGGCCCCGGGCGACTCGAAAGGACCCAACACAAAGGGGCAAACACTGGGATTCCATTTGGCTGAAATGTCTCGAATCAGGCAAACGCACAGAGACAGAAAACATTAGATTACCGGAGACTGGGGAGACATGGGCAATTATTGCCTCAGGGGGTCAAAGCTTCTGTATGGATACCACATTAAAAAAAAAAAAAAAAAAAAACAACCCAGAACCAACAGCCATGAGTGCCTTAGCTACACACGTTGTGAATCTAATTACTGTCACTGAGCTGAACCCTTAAAATGGTTACGACTGTCACCTTTATGACGTGCATATTTTTACCACCCCCACCAAAACAACACGGAAAGAGGCAGAAGCAGGTTTGGCGCACACAGAGGACAAGGCACTATGGAGACAGAGAAGAGAGAAGTTGCCGGTTACGGTCACAAGTTGCTTGTGTTACGGTCACAAGCCCGTGAAACACCACCACCTCCAGACACAGATTGGCCCCTGGGGAACCTAGAGGTGCTGCAGGCCCAGTGGGGTGATTTCGGATCTCTGTCCTCCAAAAGGGCCAGCCGATCCACTCCTGGTGTTGGTGGTGGTCTGTTAAGGCAGCCACTGCCAAGATGAGCAAGAAACTGCCCCCTCCCAGGGAGGGTACCCAGCCTAGGACGAAAGACAACCAGCCAATACCAAGGGGCACTGCTGAGACAGCGCATGGCTTTGGCAAGAGAACAGGTGAGCACTCACATGAGCAGAGGCAGAGTCCTGAAGCAGCAGGAAAGCCTGCATGGGCATGAGGCTGGAGAAAAGCATTCTGGGTGGCATGAAGCAAGCAGGGGTGGCCTTTCATGGTCGGCTTCTAAGGGTGCAGGACTGGTAGGGGTACAGATTTAGGGCAAGCCACAGCGCTCAGAGGTGGCCTTCACATGACTGAGCGATACCCACTGGAGTAATCGCTGGGCTCTCAGTCTTAACGGCTTGCCTGGCACTTCCAGGTAAAGCAGTGTCCGTGTGGGAGAACTGAAGCACGGTACATCTGTGAAGAACGTGGGGATAAGGACGTCAAAGAGGTGTTAGAACTAAAAGCCATTTTGCCGATGAGGAGGCTCACGACTGGAAATACCCACGTTTCGTGTGAGACATGTACCACATTAAAAACTTTGATCAAACGTGAAAATGTATGTAGATGTCTGGTATCAGGCACACAGGGATGGAGAATCTCCCAAGTCATCTCTAGCTTATTCATGGAAGAATCAACTTTCTGGGTTCTAGGGGAAAATTTTTAAAACAAACATTCAAAAAAAGAAGAAAAAAACCCCAAACAAAGTCAGAAACAAAAGTTACTCAATGTTCCTGGATAGCAGCTCACCAAGCCCCAGAGGAAACAATACTTAAATAAATTAAGTGAACCCTTTACAAAAACTACAGATCATGTTTCCCTCAAAATACACACGGGTTTAAAACATAAGGGCAAAATGTGTTTGACACAATACTTAGAATCTTTTCATCCTGTGTGGGTTAAGGATTGGACTGCTAACCTCGTGGTTGGAGGTTCAAGCCCCCCACCCCCACCCCCAGGCTCTGCAGGAGAAAGACGAGGCTGTCTGCTCCTGTCAAGATTTACAGTCTCAGGAACCCAACACGAACAGTTCCGCAGCACGTGTCCCCTGGGGCATCCATGAGTTGGAATCAACTATGGCAATGCGTTTGGTTTCAGGGAAAGAGTTGATAAAATATTTTAGGATGACCTTCCCTGCAACCCTACTGGCCCTGCCTCTGCAGTCACCCCCACTCTCC